GGGTCATGATTTGAACAAACTTGAATCTACACTACCTGAGGATGTTTCCACATAAGTTTCATCTTTCCTGGCCCAGTGGTTCTTGAGAAGAAGATTTTTAATTGATGCCATTATTTTTTACTAATTCCTAATTATCTCCCCTTGAAAGAGGGTGTGGCCCTTCATTTGAACAAACTTGAATCCCCTTTACCCAAGGATGCTTTGTGGCAAGTTTGGTTGAATTTGGCCCAGTGGTTCTTGAGAAGAAGATGAAAATGTGAAAAGTTTACAACAACAACAATGCCAACGACAACACCAACGACAACAACGACAGACAACGGACAAATTTTGATCAGAAAGGCTCACTTGAGCCTTTGGCTCAGGTGAGCTAAAAAATGATGCATCAGTTTAAAAAACGAAAGCAACATGGTGGCGAGAGATGCAGACTTGAGCGAGGGCAGCGATATTGACTCAAATTATGATGATATAGATGATGGATTGGATGTAAATGAAGAAAATATTGGCAGAATACATCGCGAAGTTCAACTTGGAGACATTGACTACTGGTTATTGAACATATTTACGGAAGATTTGGGCGACGAAGATGATTTCCTGGGCTTCCAAAATCAATGGACGTCGCAGGATTTCCAGCCCTGTCTACCATCTCGCTATATAAAGGTAGGGGGTGCTACAATTGAACATCCTGAAGAAGCCTGAGTACAAGGTGGTACAGAACGATATCCTCACCTTTACAGCGTGGCAGGACACAAAACCTGTACTGGTTTTGTCAAATTTCCATGACCACTTGCACCGAGGACAAGTGACCCGTAGAGCAGCTGCCGCAGCACAGAATGTAGTTGAGGTACCCCTTCTACTAGCGGACTACTAGAAGTATATGAAAGGAGTTGACATTTGCGACCAGATGATTGGATACTATATGGTCCATCATCGCTTAAAGAAATGGTGGCGCTGATTGTTTTTTTATCTGATGATGGTGTCTGCCCATAATGTGTACATCATAGCTAATGATACCCAGGGTTCGAAATTCACTATATACAACTCGCAAAACGTGAGTTAGAATTCCCAAATTGCGAGTTAAAAATTAGGTAACTCGCAAAAACTTGCGAGTTGATTTTTTTTGCATTGAAACTGTAGCAAAATTTTATAATGTGACAGAACACAATGCTTTTGATTTAAATCAGTAATTTAACTAAAAACCACACTGTAGTTGTATTTTGTGCATTGTACAGTAGTTACTTTTTCCATAAGTTACATGTATTTAATTTATATAAATTTAACTTTTTATGAAAATTGCGAGTAGTCTTATAAAATTGCGAGTTCACTTTCTTGGTACTCGCAATTATTTGCGAGTTGTAATTTTTGGGAGTTTCTAACCCTGATACCCATCCAGAAATTGGAAAGGATCGCTGGCCAAACTTCCAAGATTTCCTCGAGGAAATTGTGGAGGACTTGATTGGACTATATTGATTCGTATATGGTGAAAATTGCCTTTTATTTGAATTTAACAGCTTATTTTTGAAAAATTATTGAAGTTATTTTTTTATATTTTACGTGTGCTAATGTTGTGTACTTTATTTGATGGATTTTGAAAATATTACATTGGATTTTACAACAAAACATTCAGGTATTGTGATGCATGAAAAACTCTGTTCAGGGTTCTCCACAAGGGGTTTTTCCATGGCGGCCCGCCATGGTTAAATTTATGTGCGCCATGGTTAAAATCATCAGCCGCCATGATTAAATTTTTATTGCATTTCAGTACTGACAATTAATTTTTAATAACCCGAGTAGTTAACTGTGTTTATACTACGACTGGCATGCACCTCAAGAGAAAGCAGACAGTACATGCTAAACAAACACGGTCGTTGATCAGCGAATATACCGTGAAGCATGACAACTGAGAGTCAATCAGCTGAAGATCATTATCTTGAGAGTTAATTTTCCTGTATATGTGTACTTTATGGGAACTCCAACGTTTTTCACTATATAAAAACAGATTACAAAAGAGACTTACTGTGCAACTCAGTAACGTAACCGATGTCAAATAACCGACAAGCACCCGAATCAAGTTTCTGCGCCTAAAAAGAATTTACTCTTTCAAAATCTAATTCCCATTCCCTTGTTTTTAATTACTTCCTCTTGCTCCTTTTTTAAATATTAATAATTATTTATCTATCTGATAAACTGGACATGAACACCAATCACCAAGTCTAAGTTTTAGAGTTACCTCCCGTTTTTTTTATGAAACGTTGCGTGGCGCTATTTTTAGCACGAGCACATGGAGAAGTTAACACTAGAGGAAAATCCGTGAAAAATGCAGTGTAGGAATAAAAAAAAAATGTTTAGAAAGAACAGAACAAAGAAAGCAATATTACCATTACAGCTATGTCAAATTTATGCCCCTGGTTCTATTAGATTTTGATACTTATCATGCTTATACCATAAGTAAGTTTTCAAAGATCATGCAGTTAAAAGCTCAGGCAATGTTAAGAAGTCGGTGTTTGTTTGTGTGTCTGTAAACTTTTTTCCCCAAAATACTACTCCTTAATCAGTTTTGGTCCTTTTTAGATAAAACTTGTTCACGCAACAGACAAGATCAATTCTGTATTTAGTTATTGAATAAAATATTGTTGCAATGGTTACTATATTAAAAAAAATGAAATCTACAGTATTGGTCCAATTTTGGTACATTTGGTACCTTAATTTGTAAAGAAAAGATGCATAATCCTTTTTTATTGTTTTATTTTTATATATTTTATATTTTTATACTATAGCTATTAATTTGGGGGGGGGGGGGGGGTTACTTCAATTGTTTGTTTTGCATTGGTAAATTTTTGTGAAATATATCATTGATTAATGAAGCTTAGAGAGTATTACATGTGTTTGTGTTTCCGATTACATTTCACTTTCGCACAGCTTCCTCCATGGTTAAATTTTTAAATGTGGAGAACCCTGCTGTTTTCCAGGAAAATACCAAGTGACATTCAAATTATCATAACTTTAAATTTTCTTGATGGAATTTTTTGTGTAAAGTGTATAAGAAAGAAGAAAAGCTAAAGATAAAATATGTGCAAAACTATTATATGGTTTACCTTCACTTTTAATGAGAAAAATGCAAATTAAAAAATGATATGTAAAGTTTTGAGATGTGTTTTTAATTTTTCATCAGGTTTAACCCCCTAATAAAGTCTAATTAATGAGCATTGCCAAATATCTTTACAAAAATTATACTGTTGGAAAGTAAATTCTATAGGCTTTCTGAATATATACTTTTATATACATTAGATTAAAGATAAGAGAGTCATTAGCCTAATTATCTATGTGCATCAGAAGGCGTGGTCCTTCATTTGAACAAACTTGAATCTCCTTCACCGAAGTATACTCTGTGCCAAGTTTGGTTGAAATTTGCCCAGTAGTACTGGAGAAGATGAAAATGTGAAAAGTTTACGACAACAACAACGACGACAGGCAACGGACAAATTTTGATCAGAAAAGCTCACTTGAGCCTTTGGCTCAGGTGAGCTAAAAATCATTAAAGTGGATCATAGAAGTACCTGTGGAAAATTAAAACCCCTGTTCTGGAGAAAATGTTGACAATGTGATAAGTTACTGCCAGAAGACACCAAACAACTGAAGCTCACTTAGACCCTAAACTCAGGTGAGCTTACAACCAATCCTATTGAAAACTGGGAAAAAATCAAATATCCTTTAATATTTATTAAACTTTTTTGGGGTGGGGGTGGGGGGGTGGGGGTGTTCCTGCAAAGCTCTTGTGTGAAATGTCCAGTTTCTTAATCATGTTAATGAGATAAACTTCCTTGCACTGCACATGTTGCCCAGAAACACACACACACACACGATTAAAACTAACATTTATCAATCTTGTTGATTAAATAGTGACAAGTATGAGCAATCCTATATTTTAAAACAACAGAACATTGTTTTAAATTGTGTGCACAGCAAAACAATACGGGAAGTTTTCAAGCGACGGTGTGTAAATGGACACCCTACGCTTTGCTGGGGGTCATTTGCATAAATTGCACTGTTCCAAACTCTCGTGTTTTTTTCCGTGTGTATCAATGAAAAGTCAAATAAGAATTGTCCACTACAAATCAAATGTTTTCCAGTCTCAAGCAGCAAAAAATAAATAAACTCTGATTTAATGAGACAAAAAATCAGACATCACAAGCATTTCTCCCCATTTTGAAAGCAGATAAGAAAGTGCATGAACGACACGCCAATGCTTCCATGCGGCATCGCGAAAAAAACATTGACCCATTTGTTTTCAAAACTTTGAAACAAAAATGTTTTACTTAAAAATCGTTAGTCATAACTCATTGTGACATTGAATTTATTTATCATTTTAAAATGATGTGCGAGTTTTTACCATTTACATTTTTTTATCAATGGTCTTACCTTTTTTTTTTTTTACAAACATTTGCAAGACAAAGACTCAATTGAACGTTCCGGTTAAAATTTTACAGAATAGAAACAATAGTTTACTGATATTAAATCCATCTGACTCTTTCAGAAAACATAGCAACTCATATATGGTGTAATATTCTTACCTTTGAGTCTAGATATATATATATATAAAGTATCCTTATATCGATGGCCTAATAATTCGCTTCAAAACGCAAGCAAACCCGCAGATTTTTTTTCAAATCTCGTGATTTCTCGTCCAAACAATTTCGGAAAAAAATATGCATCTCCAGTATTAATATGAATAAACAAAATTTGTAAAATACAATGGACGTGTTTTATGCCGATATATGATTTTTTCACATTTAAAAAAAAAAGAAATTTAAAAATAAAGATAGGGCGTACCATATATTTATTTCTTTCTGAAAGAAAACTCTCAGTTTTATGGCCCCTATCCCTCCCCGCCCCTACCAAATCTTTTTTAAATATGTTGTTTTTATACATTTTGCATATTTTAACATCAAATACATTATACGAAACACTTTCGTAAGATTCAATGTCCAAGCCAAATAGCAGACAAAAACATGGCCGACGTAAAATCACTGGAACATCCAACTTTGAAAGTAATTATTTCTTTTCATAGATAAAATTAACGCTTATAAGACAACACTTTATACTTAAGTGTAAAAGAAGAAGTTGCTGAACTGTAGCTCGCTGGTCTGAAAAAAAAATAGAGATGGATGACCAGAGAGCTAAATGCCTATTGAAAGAGTGTATATCGCCAAACCCCATAACTCCGTCACTTTCGGGAAACTCCGCGCTGTTTGTTAACGAATGCGACTGTGACTTCATTTTTGTTACATGCTGAAAATCTACAATCAATTGCCAAGAAATCGTGACAGTCAAGTTCAAGAATGCGTCAAAAATGAATAACAATAACACTATCGTATCTATCATATTTCATGTGAAATCAGTAAGCACCTTCTCCTTTATGCACTATTCCATCGATACCTCGAACATGTGCGTCAATATGCTCATTTTTACATGTCAGTCTTATTTATGAAGGTCTTTGACAAAGGATTAAAAAGACATTTTATACTGAATATGGCTAAAAATGTATTATTTTCCTCTCAATTTGCCCTAATACGCTACACGTTGGAGATAAGGTAGCATGACATTATTACAGATAAAATATGTTATATTTACATTATTTTTTCTGTTGTTGATACTTTTCCTAAAATACAATTTTAGACTATTTTAAATCTTCAAAACTAATTTTCTATGTTTACAAGTTTAAGATGAAGGGAGAAAAAACCAAACTGGAAAAAAAATTATAATCAATTTGTTGACATGTTGTAGAGGGCCCTGGTGACGGAGTTAGGGTTCATTGAACGTAATGTTCACGGATGTGATACGTGTTCTATTTATAGTAGTGTTGTATAAGCCCAATGACTGAATTTTTTAGAATAGTTCTGAAAGCAATTATGTTTAAGTTCATTACTAAGTATAGCAAACAAGAAACAAACCCAAAAAATAATTGAGAGAGTAACCTGGCGTGTTTTCCGCTCATGGTGACAAGAGTTTGGGTAGTAGGATACATATTTATTGCGCACAAAAAATTGAGTGTTGGTAAAATGTAGGGATGTGTGATTTTATCGGTATACTGGTATATCGTGATTTTTAATTGCATGATATGTATCATGATACGGAGACTAAATTACTGGTATTTAGGTACATAGTTATAAATTCCAGAAATTATTCATTTATTTGTTCTATCTTTCAAATTACAATTACAGGAAGTGTAAACAATGTTGAAAACGGTAAAAGAAAGGCATCATAGCATCCAAAATTGCTTGATTTTACATTAAATTAAAAAATGAAAAAAATGAAGTTATGTTTTTCCAGCATACTTTTTGGGAAAATTATGAATATTCATTTAAAATATTGTAAAAATTGCTTCTAAAAATATCATGATATTACTGTGATATTTTGGGAAAAAATCATGGTATATATATTTTGGCGATACCCATCCCTAGTAAAATGGGTAGGCAGACTCAGGCCAGGGCAAAATGAAAACCGGGGTTATTCGAGAATTTTCAATTTTCTGCCTTAAAGCTCTTTCAATCGAATTGAAATTTTCAGATTATGTTTGTTATAGGTGCAGGGTTCCCATTAATGCAAGAATCTGTGTCCTAGACACAGCAAAATTACTTGGGATGCAAGGGTCTTAAAAATGATGCATCCGCGGACTCATGAGTGGGCACGTTCTCGTTAGCGAGAAAATTCGGGAGCTTTCAAAAAAGGAGAATTTATATGTTTGGATTTGTCAAAGAAGTATTTAATGGAAATCTTTCTGTAACTATCATAAAGTTTATCCAAGAAACAACTTTTCTTGTACCTATTTCTCTTTTTTTAAAAAAAAACAAAAAAAAAACAGGGATTGATTATAAGATATTTCATGTTTATTAGTCCATAGTCATAATAGTGTCACATGCCAAACTCTGACAGCTGTCAACACACTGCAGTTTTTTTTTTAAACACTTTTGAATCTTGAGTTTTATCTAGAAACCATAATTACTGCTTGTATACACAATGCGGCTTGATTATCTCGTGAATTTCACACAGTACAGACGACCGACAGGATTAGTTACGCGTCATTGCACATGACACCTGTGATTATATACAGTCAACTTTTGGGTACTAATTGATTATACAACAGTTAATTTTAGCTTTATAAACACCAAGTTAATTTTTATGGCAAATGATTACGCATGTATTTTAGAATATGGCTTGAATGCATGACCAGTTTTAATATATATTTGAATATGTTAGTATTGCATAAACAAAATGATAAAATAATAAATATTTTTATTGATGTTTGGATGGAAGGATACTGCAATAATTTAGTTGGGACTCAACATAATTTTTCTGGGACGCATCAAATTTAGCTGGGATGCAACCTTCTCAGAAATCTTGAGTCCTGGGACTCAAGTTAGCAAAATCCTAGTGAGAACCCTGTAGGTTTATATGTATTCGCTGTAAAACTTGCACTGAAATGTTTTATATTTTGGATTTTCTCAACAATTTTTTTATTTCCAAGTTGGTAAAATGGGTAGGCAGTTTCCAAAGTCAACATTTTATGTTTTTTGACATATTTGACTATGTCAATAAAGTTATGAATCATTCTGATGTTTAAGATTATATGTTAACTATAAATTAGTATTTCTTCATTGGTAATTGTTATTGCTGCGTAAAATTACATGTTTTAAGAAAAAAACGGGTCATTAAAACCTGATCTGATCACTAGGGATAAACCTGAAAAGTCCGAATAATTGTAGGGGTTACATTGCATTGCGGGAGATTATTTTGTCACCTAAAAAAAAAGAAAGTTAAAAATAGTGCTTTATATATTATGTATATGCTTTATTTATAGCTTAAAATCCAAATGATTAAAAAATAAACTATTTTGACAATTACACTTATTAAGTAAATCCATTAATTATTACATCATATTATTTACACCACTAACCTTTCCATTTTAACTTTTTATCCCTATTAATACAATGTACATAGGTTTTTAGCTGTTCACCACAGAACTACTGGAGTATTGACACTAAAATTGAGTACACTCCACAAAGGGAAGAAGGAGAAGAAATGTAAACAAAAAAAGAAAATAATACTTTAGTAAGTTCAAAACCCAAGTCATTAAAAAACATTTTGATAATTTTACTTATTAAATAAAAAAAGGCTCTTGTGAGGCTACTTCAATGTGGTAAGAGATGAGCAATGTCACAAAGGTGATAGCTAGCATCCTCCAAAACAAAGAATTCGCTATCATTATATTGGAATTTTCGGGTTTGCTCTGGGTGAGCGGATCAGGTTTTTATGACCCAGTTTTCCTGAAAATGTGTAAATTTTGCTTAGTAATAGCATTTTACAATGTAAAACTAATTATTTATAGTTAATATACCATGTTAAACATTGGAAAAACCAAAAAGTTTATTGGCTTATTGACCCATAAGTCAAAAATACTGTAAAATGTCATCTTGATTTTGCCTACCCATTTTCATACATGTCCAAGAACAAATTGAATCTCGATATGGGTGAATAAAAAAAAAAAATGACCAAACGCATATTTATCAACCCACACTAAAAATACAGGCAATGAAAATAGATTTATATGTCTCAGAATATGTCTTTAGATACTGCCAAATATCTCATTGATCATGTTGATATCTCAATTAACAAAAAACTTGTGCCCAAAAATTATGCTAAAATTGTCAGGAGTGTAACACCATTTTGTGACATTTTGAAATTTCAATATTTTTTGAAGATCTGTGAAATATTGATAATGGTTTATGTTGAAAATAAAGACTTTCCTGACAATATTCAAAGTATTGAGCTTTAAATGTGGACTGTAGTAACTTTCGTTAAATCAAGTTGTGGTCATGGCTGCGTGGCTCTGTTAAGGTGTACTATGAAGAAATCAATGGAATATGAACGTGCATAAATACATACCTTTTTAGACTGAATTTATTTTTTTGAAGCTACCATATTCTCACATGACTTTAATATTAATTGAAATAACATTGTATACCCCGCTCTGTATTGAACTTGGTTTGGTCACGTTATTTGACAGTCACGTAATAAATGTATGTAATGTGTACGGTATGTAGGTCATGAACAAATTTCAATATCGCAAGGGCATACCCTAGTTAAAATAAAAAATTTCAGTAATGAATTGTTTCTACATATCTTGTAGTTTATGGAAAGTGCTGCTGCTTTAAATAGAATTAGCATTTTATTAGTTTAAATTTCAAGTTATTTAGCTCTAGACTAGTCGAATTATGTGTGACCTTTACCAAGTATTTTATGTATTCATTAAGTAATGCTCTCGATTTCAGGAAAGCAGCAGCACTTTTCAAGTTAAGAAATGTAACCGTTATGTATATCAAGTGTATGCCCTTGCGAAAAGGCGATTTAATGAAGCACCTCGGCGTGAAACATGCAAACCCTGTACAAAAATCAATGTAGAATTAATTTAATACATTCTCTCGATAGTTTTTAAATAATGGCACTAAACAAAGATTCCAGATTTGTATTAATGGTCTAACTAACGTTTGCAAATAATATTCTCTTTAATAATAAAATGCATTTTTCACTGTGAAAAAATTGCTTGATCCCCCTCTCACTGCACATAAAATGCGTCAGATTTTACCATGATGACGTCATGTCGACAAGTGCATTGCGATCAGTGACTTGTTTATATCTTGTTGTGTGGGATTTAACTAGCAATAAAAATGAATGCAGTGGTAAGTTTTGATGTAGTTTATTACTCTTATGCAGTTTAAAATCGCAAATTATTTCATTTTCTGTTATTGTGAGAGATTGCTATTTCTGTGTGATGTCACAGTAAGCATTTCCCATATAATTTAGGCCCCGCCCCATTTATGCAGCCTTAACGGAGCTGCGTGATGTTTAAAAAAATGTTATACCATGTCAGGAGTGCAACAGAAAAAATGTAGTGTTGCCAAAAAAACATCAATTGTAAAATTCTGAAAGAAAATTAAGACAAAAAAGAATATTTGCAGTGTAAAACAATAACTGAATATACATTTTAAAA